TTTTTTTTTTTTTTTTTTTTTTTTTTTTTTTTTTTTTTTTTTTTTTTTTTTTGATTAATATTTCGTTGCTACTATTATATGTCATTCGTACTTACTCTTATTTATTTATCTATATATTTATTTATTTATTTATATATTTATATATTTATATATTTATACATTTACATATATACCTATTTATTTATGAATTTATATACCTATTTATTTATTTATATATTTATATATTTATATATTTATTTATATATTTATTTATTTATATATTTATTTATTTATTTATATATATAATATATTTTCTTTGTGCTCAGGTAAAGGCTGAAGAGGACTCTGTGGGGGGTTGTGTTTCCTGCGTGATTCAAAACCCCCCCAAGGGTTTAGGTGAGTTGAGGGTTTGTGTATTAGGGTTTAGGGTTTAGGGTTTAGGGTTTATGAAGGTAGATATTCCTTATATAAGGGTTTAGGGTTTATGAGTTTAGGGTTTTTATTTTATTAAGGTTTAGAGTTTATTTTTATTAGTTTTAGGGTTTAGGGTTTAGGGTTTAGCCTCAATGTTGTAGGTATTTATTATTAGGGTTTAGAGGGTATCCCTAGGGTTTAGGGTTTAGGGTTTAGGGTTTAGGGTTTAGGGTTTGTGAGCAGGAGAGCCTGTATTCGATAAGCTGCCGGCTCTTATGGCGCATGCAATGTTCTCTATCCCCGCGGTTAAGGGTTTTGAGGTAAACCCTAAACCCTAAACCCTAAACCCTAAACCCTAAAACCCTAAACCCTAAACCCTAAACCCTAGGGCGTTTTGTTTCTGTAGTTGTGTTTGTTTATCGGGTTGTTTAATACAAATAAATATATTTACATAAATAAATTAATAAAATAAATAAAATAAATAAATAAAAATTAATTAATATATAAATATATAAACAAATAAATAAATAAATATAAATGTTTTTTGTTTGTCTGTTTTCGGTTCGTTTGTTTGTTTACTCTGCTTTCTCTTTATTTATTTTTGTTTGTTTATTTTATTTTTTATGTGTTTTTTTGTTTGTTCTTTTTTCTGTTTGTTTGA